TCCAAGTGCCAAGCCTGGACATCCTCTTCTTCCTGCTCCAAACGGAATTAACTCATAGTCTTGTCCTTTGAAGTCGATATCGCTATTTAAGAATCTCTCAGGCATAAATTCTTCTGGATTTTCCCATATTTCAGGATCTCTTGCAATTGCCCATGCGTTAACATAAACTATAGTTCTTGGTTGAAATTCATAGCCTTCTAGTGTGGATATTTTCATTGATTCTCTTGGTATTAAGAGTGGAGCTGGTGGAAATAATCTTAATGTCTCTTTTATCACTGCTTTGAGATAAGACATATTTTGAATATCATCTTCATTTACAATGCCTTTGTTTCCAATTAAATTTCTTATTTCTTCTTGAACTTTCTTCATGGTTTTTGGATTCTTGATCAAGATTGTCATTGCCCATACTACCACAGCTGCACTAGTGTCTGATCCAGCAATTAACACATTCTACATAAAAATTGACAATTCATGAGAAATTCTCAAGGCAATAGTGGACACACGCTACAACAAATAAAGAATTTGTGACAATAATATAATTGTCATTATATTATATTAGCATCAATAATTGTCGTTAAATGTCGCTAAGGGCTTTAGCAACTCTGAATGCAATGAGCAATAGGAAAATCAATTATCACGTATATGTGTGCGTGAGCGCGTGTATAAATAGATAGGTTAAAGAAATGGAAAATTACCATGAGAATTCCTTTTATATCCTCCAAAGAGAGATCAATTGGTGTTAATTGCTCTTTCTTCAATTGTAGCAAAAGATCTATAATATCTCCTTCCATGGAGTTTGGCCTATTGGGATTGTGATGTTGTTCAATTAGTTCTTCATAAAACTCATCCAAATCTTTGAAATTCTTCTCAAGCCTATCGGTCAATCCAGTGAGTTTATCAATCCAACTTAAAGATGGAAAAAAATCAGACACAAAAAAGCTTGCCAACATAGCTTGAGCTTCAGCCAAAATATAATTAAATCTCTTCCTTTCATGTGCTTCTTCATCAAATCTAACACCAAAACCAACTCTACAAATAATTGTACTATTAAGTGAAATCATCAAATTGCTCAAATTGGTGACTTGAGAATTATCAACTTGTTGATATATTTTGTTGATCATTCTTGAGATTTCATCTTCACGAATCGGACTAAATAATTGCACTTTCTTGAGACTAAATAAATGAAGAACACATATTTTTCTCATTTCTCTCCAATAATCATTGTAAGGTGCAAAACCAATATCATGACCATTGTAAGACAATTTTTGTTGGCCAACAAGAGAAGGTCTGCTACAAAACACTAAATCTTGTGTCTTGAGTACTTCTTTTGCTAATTTTGCTGAAGAAACTACAATAATTGAAACATGAGAAGAAAGTTTGAATGAGAAGATTTTTCCATATTTCTTGGAAAGTTTCCAAAAATAAATATGAGGGGCTAAACTATCAAATTGATGCAAATTTCCAATGAAAGGAAGCCCTATAGGACCTGGTGGAAGCTTATTTTTACCACTCCTTTTGGCTTTAAGAAGAAGAAAGATGAGGCAAATAGGAATGACCACAAAGAGTAGAAAGAAAATCATTTTATTGTCTAATTGACTAGTCACTTGATATGCCTTTTATATATATAT